CAGACCCCTTGTGGAGACTCCACTGTTCCATAGCTGGGTAGCCTGTTTCCTCTTTCCTTCATTCTCCCTTCAGCCTGGTTCCTTTTCATCACAGTAGAACATTTGCTAGGATTTCTTTATCAATCTTTCTATTTTTTTAGTCTGCCTTTACAGAGGCCAGTAGCTTACAGCTGAAACATAGATACATGAACATATCTGAAATAATAAGAGTCATTTTAGGCGAGGAATTGGGGTCTCAGATGAGACAAATATAAATTTTCTGATCAGAAATTTGAGAGGAAAAGGGGAGTTGAGAAAGGGGAGAGGTGGAAGGCGGAGGAAAGGGTAGAAATGTTATAAATAGAGTGCTAGCGATGAGTCTCAAACTTCATCAAATGAGCTTCATTTTGCATTAAATGGTGAGTAACACAGAGACCCACATCTGGTCAGTGTGCAGAGAATAAAAGACAGAGGGACGTGCTCAGCTCTAACTGAGACTTCTACACCCAAGGCTTCCCCCAAAGCTCATGGAAATTTGCATGAGAAGAGTAAAAAGATGGTAAGAGCCAGAGTCAGTGGATGACTACTAGGAAACTGTTTTGGGGACACAATAGCCAGGTGTGCATATGAACTCTCCACTGGTTGTGACAGCATGCTCAAGATTAGCAGAAGCTCCCACCAGACAAAATACCAGCAGGGAAGGGGGAGGTGAGAAAAAAGCTCCGCCCCAAGTCCAGGAGTTACTAGCAATTGACAGCTGCTGAAAGAAGGAGAGTCAGTTTTTGAAGGGTGTGACCCCTGGTAGATGGACCATGCTCAGGGGGACACACAAAGAATATTGAGCAACACGAATTGGACTTGATGGGCTTTACAAAATGAAAAAGAGGACAGTAAGTTGGATGGTTAGGGAAGTGGGCGGGGCAGATCTGGAAGGAGATGAGATGGGGGGTGAATATGATCAAAATGGATTTATGATTTTCAAAGTTTTCATAAAATATTATTTGATATTGTCTTTTTATTTTATTATTTTTATGTGTATGTGTGTATTACCTGCAAGAAGGTAAGCGCACCCGCACCGTGCAATGCCTGCAGAGGACAGAAGAGGCTGTCAAATCCCCTAGAACTGGAGTTACGGACAGTTGTTAGCTGCCATGTGGGTGCTGGGACTCAAACCCAGGTCTTCTGCAAGAACAGCCAGTGTTCTTAACTGTGGTGCCATCTCTCCAGCCTCCTATTTGATATTATCTTTAAATGAAAATTGAAATATTGTAGACTGATGAAAGTAAACATCTATATGTACATATATATACATACATATATATGTGTGTATGTGTTTATGTATATATTTAACTCTATTAGAAGTAGCCTGATGATAATCTAAAGTGTTTATCAGCAAGTATGTTCTGCTACTGAAAAACTTGTCCTGTTATTCTTCACAGGGTCCTTAGGAGCTCTTCCCTGCTCCCCAACTCTTTGCTGCTATTGGTTAAAGGAGGAGGGGAAAGCCAGGGTGAGGACACTGCTATGCTCAGATCTGAATACATACACTCAGCATTTAGATTTTGGTCTCCCAGAATTATAATAGTATAGGAAACCAATTTCCATAAAGTTTCATTTCTGTATAGAAGCATATTATCATGATAAGATTGATATGCTGTAACAGAGGTCAGCATCCTTGGCTCTGAATGCAGCATGTCTACTTTGAGCAATAGTGTTTGCCACTTGTCAATGTTCTTGGCTGACAATGTCCATTTCCACTGGATAAGAGGAGCTGGTTGGTGAGGCTGGCTCTAGTGAAGCCTTATATTTGTTCATGACACTAGATGAAGGTTGCTTAGGGTAGTCTGAATTAGATTGGAAAGACTGATTGTTCTAATGATTTCAGACAGTTTCATTCTAACATGATAAAACTAAGTACCTACTTTGCCTCTTCTTGTATTTGTAAAACAGCTCTAAAGTTTCATGGGTTATGTCTATGGATTATTACTTGATACCACTCTCTCAGCTGGGACAACTGCATCTGCAGTTCAAGGCTGCCTCACACAAAGTTTTTCTTTCCCTAAATGTAGCAATCCTAGGTCATGATGCCTGAAGCTTTGGCCTGATTTTGTGCCTGCCTCCATGGCCTGACTTAATAACAAATACCATAGGGCAGATGAAGCAATTATCTGTGCATTTAATTAAACATTTATCTTCTGAAGCTGCCAGGGCAGCTGCCCCTCCACTCTTCCTGTGCTGGGTGCTGTCTCCGGGCGCTGCTCCTCTGCTCCCTCCCGTGCCACCTGTGATTGCAGGGGCGCTGCCTGCCAGGGCACAGGCACCGCCCCTGATCGCAGGGGCACTGCCCTTCGCTCCCGCTTGCAGCAGCAAGCTGTGGTCGCTCTTCCACTTCTTGTGGTGCTGAGGCAGCTCTTCCGCTCTCCCAGGGCTGGGGCTGCTCCTCTGCTCACTGTGGCGCTGCCTCAGACCTTCACTACTTCTGTGGGTCCCAGCCCCCAGGGCTGGTGAGGAGACTGTCAGCAGAGCCACATTCAGACACAGGAGACCAGGTTTCTTGATGCAGATCTGGTTTATTATAGAAGGGCAGAAGCTTATATAGGGGTAGGGGTCCAATCAAGAAGTTACAACTCAGATCTTTGGCAGGGCTATATCCTATCACGACATCGGGAGTCAGAGACCTCATTAGCATAATGGGTTTCCTTATGGGGTCTGGTTTCCTGGGAACCACGTGACCCAGGCTGTCTAAGTGTTGCAATTTGGAATCTCAAGGGTGGTGATTAGTGAGTGGCAAGCTCTAGGCATCAGTCTCATGATCTGCCAATGGGAGCAAATGTCACAAGACGTTCCTTGTGGCTCCAGCAGTTGGGCCTTTGGCTGGTGCCTGCTGTATGGCTGTCAATAAGACTTTCACCCTAGGCTCAAACCTGTCTCCCACAATCTTCAAATAGTTTTATCTTAATATCTAAGACTGAATGAAATAAATGATGTCAGTGAAGCTGGCAATGTAGGAGCACACCTACAATCCTTGTTCTTAGGGGGTAAATGCATGAATCTCAGAGGTCCTGGTGACCCTCAGCTACACTTTAGACTTAAGGTTAGCTGGTCTATATGGAATGCTCTGTCAAAAGAAACAAATAAATAATAATAATAATAATAATAATAGTAATAATAAAATAAACGGAGCTGTGGTAGTACCTCAGTAGGTAGATTGCTTATCATGAAAGTCGAAGAATTTGAGTTCTGCTCCCCTCAACACAGATAAAAATTTGAACACTACCATAGTGATGTATGCATGTAATCCCAGAGTTTGAGGAAGACACAGTTGGATCACTGAGGCTGGCTGGCCAGCCCACCTAGCCTGCATAGTGAGGGCCAGACCAATGGGAAAATCTGTGTTAAAAAATGATGAAATGGCCAGCACTTGAGGAAGGACAGCTAAGGTTCAAACCCAAAGGCATACAACTATGTGTCCATGTGCAACTCCTCACTGATGCATTCATATAAATACATAGAACTATAATAATTATTGATAATAATGGTGGTGAATTATTTTCATTATTTATAATCATAAATATTTTCATAGACGGAGATAGCTAAATGGAGAAAGATTTATCATTCATTTATTAAAATCCTGATTCATCTGGATATGTATGCATAAATTATGAATTACTTTTGAATCATGTTGACTTGAAATGGATATTTGACTTGAAATACCTCCATTTGTACCTTCCTTTCTAGGAGGTAGAAAGTATGACATCTATCCATCCAGGTAGCCAACCAGACTGACAGTGTATATGAGAAATGGAAACATATTGAAAATGTCCATAGTTCTCACCAACTTGGTGAAGTAATTTTGAGCACAATAAAGAAACATCATTTGTACAATTTTGTGTCATATTTAAGACCACAGTGCTCAGAAACACCCTGAACTGAAACTGTAAGAAACATTTGTTTCCTTCTTTGAAGCAGAGTAGAAGATTTCTTTAATTAAATGCACAAATAATTTAATCATCTGCCTTATAATATTATTGATTCAGACCACTGAGGCGCAAAACCAATCCAAAGCTTCAGGCATCATGAACTAGGATTGCCTCATTTAGGGAAAATAAAGAGACTAATTTAAATATAATTAACCAGTCAAAGTCTGAATAACACGTGGATTCTGGGAAATGATTAGTGGTAGGCATGTTTTCTAAGATAGAGCACTCTACCTTCCAAAGTTTAAAGATCTCAGGTGTCTATATTAGAGACTGACTTGGGCCTCCATCAAACCTCTCTAAGCAACCTTGCACTCTCTCAAACAGATCCAGGTAAACAAGGGTACTGGGCCAAGCCCTGGGAATATTCACACAACATGGGTGAGTTCTTCCACCCTTTGCCTCCTTAGTCTTCCTCTTACCCTGGTAAATCTGACACCATGTCTTCCTCATTCTGCCTTTGATTATTCCTTAAATTTATGTCTCAATTCTTAGATTTAAATCATAATATTGATGTCAGACTTATGAAAATGTGAATCCACTTTATACGCATGAGGAGATTAATTTCCTAATAATACTGAGTCTCAGATATTATAGTTAGAATACTGATCATATATACATATATATATGTATATGTAGGTATGTCATGTTACTGGGGCCTAAAAACAGGACTTTTGCCTCCTGCGACCATTGTATACTCAACTACATCCCCATCCCATCTTTCCATTTACATAGTGACACTGGTATCATTTATTTATCTAGTTTATCCTTGAACTTGCTCAATTTCCCAGGCACTCCTTGGATTTGCAGTATTGCCTTAGCCTCATAAGTGCTGGGCTTACTACCTTCAACAGCAGAGTCCTAGCTTAGGTCATTTCCTGTTCTAACAATGATTATGTGCTCCCTCTTTGAGTAGGCTTCATTCAAGCCATCAACCTCTCATGGAATAGTTTCAGAATATGACACTATATAAAACACCACAGAAAAACTGACCAGGCAAAACATCAATGCTTTGTTGCTGAGAAGATGAACTTTATTAATCAGAAGCTGTGCTCTCAAGGCCCAGTCCAGCACTCATGTGCAGAAGGGATTTGAGGACACACAGCAGTGACGCCCATCTGGAAAGAGGGCTCAGTGGTACTTGTGGGACAGAGCACTGGCCACCCCAGCCACAAGCTTCTGCCAAGCAGCCTGCATCTCAGGGGTGAATTCTTTGCCAAGCTGAAGAGAGAGGACAATCACCAGCGTGTTACCCAGGAGCTGTGAGATGAACAAGAGAGATGGAATGAGAAGTGGAAAGCCCATAAGAAATGTGTGCAAAACAAGGGTTTAAATAAACCTTCTCAGCACCCATGAGCCTCTCCTCCCATTCAATATTTTCTTGCCCACATCCTCACTTGTCTCCATCCACCAATTTTATTTTCCTCTCTTGTCCCATTCTCACAGACCAAAAGCCTGATAGATTTAAACATAGGCACTCAGCCATACAGGATGCTCAGCGGAAAATACCATTTAGAACAATGCTCTATATAACCTAATCAGTAAGAATTTATTATGTTCTTGTAGGTTTGACAAATTGATTATAAAAAGTCCATTTCTGAACTCTCTCTCTGAATTTCTTATGCATCAAAAATTAAGACATAAATTATATCTCCTTTGTAGTGACAAGCCAACACTTCTAAATTTTGTCACCACTTGCACAGATCTGCCTCCCTCTGATTTTTCTCTCCAAAATAAACATATCTATAATTATGTTTTGTGCTCTCACAAAATCTTGAATGATGACTTTGGAGTCTGTGCTAGCATTATCAAAGCTGCTCTCAAATTCCATATTTCCCCTCAAGTCAGATCCAAAATGATCACATGAGTAAGTCATGAACTTACCTTGAAGTTCTCAGGATCTACATGAAGCTTGTCACAGTGCAACTCACTGAGATGGCCAAAGACCTCCTTGAGGTTGTCCATGTTGTTAACAGCATCTCCAAAGGAGGACAGCACTTTCTTGCCATGGGCTTTGACTTTTGGGTTGTTCATAATGGCTGAGACACAAGACAGGTCTCCAAAGTTGCCAAAGTACCTCTGGGTCCATGGATGGACACACATGAGCCTATGAGATGAACCAGTATATTTTAAGGCAGTGTACATCACATATTGAGAAAGGCCCTGGATTTCTGCAAGGCAAACATTCCTTCCTCCCCTCCCTAGTCCTTGTCCCCACTGCTTACCTTCCCAGGGTTTCTCCTCCAACAGCTCCCACATCGACCTGTGACCACAGGCATTTGATAGCCTTCTTGTCCTGGTCTGTCAAATGAACCATGGTTGCTGATCTAGGAGCTTGGCAATGAACTCCACTTTTGAGAAGTAAGCATGTTCAACTGCTGAAAAGCATGGCCTTTTATTCCTCATGGGGGGCCTCCTAGCCCGTCCCTGCTACCCAATGCTCCGAGGCTATTGGTTAAGGGATGCTGGGCAAGTCAGGGTGGGGTCCACTGGGGTAAGTTTTAGATAGCATTCCCATTAAGATAGTGTCAAGTTGGCCCCCTCATGGGAGACCCTACTGTTAAACTGCTTAAAATCTTCTTCCTCTTTTATTTTCCTTTCACCTTGATTATTTCCCTTCTCAGTAGGAGATTTTAAATGATTTCTTTATCAATTTTTTCTTACTTTTTTGAGTTTAGCTTTACAGAATTCAGTAGTTTGTAGCTGAAGCGTAAACATATGAACTTATCTGAAATAATGAGTCATTTTAGACACAAGAGTCAGGGTCTCAGGTGAGATCTTATGAACAGGAATTTGAGAACAAGTGGAGACAGGGAATAGGGGAGAAGTTGGATGGCAGATAGGGAGTGGCGAAATGTAAATAGCAAGTTAGTGGATGAAATTCTCAAAGTTCGTCAGGCTAGCTTCTTCATTATACATTAAAGAGTGGTTAACATAGAGACCAAGAACTTGTCAATGTGCAACTGACTAGGGAGTGTTCAATATTACATGGGACATTATACATATATATATATGGTCTCTTACCCTCTACCCAGGGTTCATGGAAATTTAGAGGAGAGGGAGCAAAAAGATTGTAAGAGCCAGAGGCAGTGGATAACTACAAGGAAACACTTTTCTAGACACAGCAGCCAGTTGTGCATATGAACTCTCAGCAGTTGTGACAGCATGCACCAGACCTGCAGAACTTTCCACCAAACGAAATACCAGCAGGGAAGGGGGAGGTGAGCACAGAGTCCCACCCCTAGCTAAGGACTTATTAGCAATTGATAGCTGCTGAAAGAGGGAGAGTCAGTTTGTTAAAGGGTGTGCCTACTGGTAGGTGGACTATGCTCAGAGGATGGCCCCACACCCAAGCGTATTTGAGCCACACAAATTGGACTTGATGGGCTTTACAAAAAGAAGACAGTAAGTTGGTTGGTTATGGAGTTGGGGGGCAGATCTGGAAGGAGAAAAGGTGGAGGTTAATATTATCAAAATAGATTTATGCTTAAAGATTTAAAAAAAATATTTTACATTATTAAAAAATAAAATTTACAGAATGGTACAAATATATATTAGTGTGTGTATATATTTATGTACATGTATAACTCTTACTCAGAAGTAGTTTGCAAGAAATAGTCGTATAATATTATTAAATACATTCCCTGAGTGTTTAGAGCATGGTGTCCCAGGAGCACACTAGCAATAGGGAAAGCAGTTTCCATACAGCCTCAGTTTCTTCATAGGTACAGATTGCTGTGATGTCTTGTAGGTCAGCAACCTGAACTAGCATGCTTTTAAACAAAGCATGTCTACTTTGAGGATAGCATTTGCCTCCCTGTGGATACACTTAGGTAGTCATCAGCCAATGCCTGTTTCCACTGTCCAGGGGGAGCTAGCGATGATGTAAGTGAGAATGGACTGCGGACTTAAATTGGCTCATTAAAAGGTATCAGTGTTACTTGGTGTGGATGCTGTCTGGAGATTATCTAATGATTTCAGACATTACCTATTAAGTGACAGCTTTTTTACTCCTTTCTTTGTTAAGCAACTTTGAAGTGTCATGGATTATGCCTGTGAATTAACATCCCATACCCACTGTCTGAGCTGGACACAACTGCACATGAACAACTTCATCTACCTCACACATAGAGACTTTTCCCCCCAAATGTAGCAATCCAAGGTCATACATGAAGCTTTAGCTTGATATTGTGCCTCTGTGGCCTAAATTAATAACACTATTATAGGCATGTGCAGTAAAGTTCTGTGCATTTAATTAAATATTTATCTCCAAGTCTTTTTTCCCCTCAACATCTAAAATTGAATGAAAAACAAACAAAAGATGTGAGTGAACGTGGGATGGTGATACACACCTATAATCCCTGCCATTAGGTGGTAAATGCAGGAATATCAGGCATTCTGGTTTTCCTTAGCTACATTTGGGTTCAAGCTCACCCATCTATATGAAACCCTGTCACAAGAAAATGAAATAGCAATAGTAACACTAATGAGAATGATACTAATAACTGGAGCTGTGGTGATGGCTCAGTAGATAGAGTATGTTTCATGCAAGCCAAAAAAATGTGAGCTTGACTCCCCACATGCCAGGTGAAATTTTAAAAGCCAGCCATGGTGATTCCAGAGCTTGGGGAAGAGACAGTTGGATCACTGATGTTGACTGGCCAGCCTGCCTTGTTAGATAATGAGTTACAGGCAAATGAGAAGACCCGTCTCAAACAATAACAAGATGGACAGGACCCGAGGAAGGATCAGAAAAGGTTGCTCTTTTGCTTCTGTTCACACAGACATACATACATAAAAGCAGGCATGCTTGTTCAGCTCCTTGCTGAGCACACTCACAGATACGTGGAACAATATTAACTACTGAGGACAATCATGTTGGTGACTAACTTTCCTCATTTATGATCTTTGCAATTAGATATATTTCATAGATGTAAAAAACAAAATGGCTAAATATTATTTACCATTCATGTATTTTAAATCTTAATTTATCCAGAGACACAACTTGTGAAGGATGAGCTGCTTTTCAACTATGTTGTCCCAGATACCTGGCTGGAAATACCTCACTCTGTATCTTTCTTTCCAAGAGATAGAAAGTCTAAGTTCTGTCTGGATACTTGGACCATAATAACAATAATGGCAAGAATGAGAAACACAATATCAAAAATTCACATGTAAGGATGAAGCCTCAATATATCAGTTACTCAGGATTTGTAGGTCCAACCTCCCTAAGCAACTCTGTATTCTTTCAAGTAGATCCAAGTACTATGAGCTTATTGGGTGCGTGTGTCACCTCCCCTGCGCATTTTCACACAGGCTGGGCGATTTCTGCACCCCTTGTCTCCTCTTCCTTCCACTCACCCTGGTAAATCTGCCACCATGTCTTCCTCATTGTCTCTCTGTCCAGTCGTCCTTCATTGTACCTCACTTCACGTCTTAGGTTTAAACCATTATATTCATTACATTACATCATGTCCCATTTTTGAACATTTGAATTCATTTGACGTCTGTCAGGAGATTACTTTCCTAATAATGGTATTTCTCAGATATGATGGTAAGGACATTTATTGTTTGCTGTTAGTTTAAGTCATCATTTTTTATTTTTATGTTACTGTGAACTGAACACAGATTTGTGACTACTGGCAGCCACTTACACTAAGATAATCCCTGTCCTATCTTGGCTTTTTCACTGGGACACCAGGTCTCATCATTTCAAGTTGGGATACTCTTGAACTCACACCACAGTCCAGGCAGGCTTTAAACTTGCAATCTTGCCTTAACCTCTTGAGTGCTTGGCTTACTACATCCAACAACATAGTGCAAGCTTACATTTTTATACTAAAGGACCTATACCCTCAGATCTTGCTGTATTTTACCCATATTTAGAATAGGCTCCATTCAAGGTACCAGGCTCTCACTCAATAGTTTCAAAAGATGGGCCTTCTCGCATATATGTAGACTTCATTTCTGTGAACATCCTTCATTTCCAAATGCTTCTACCGCTTCTATCCTTCCACTAAATTCACTTTAAGGCACAGTACATTATAATACAACACACAGCACCCTGATATCATGTCTTAGCCTTTAACCTGAACTGAGACAACAAAATCAACCCCCACCAAATATACCCATCTAAAGTTGAAGCTCGTGAGTGACTTTTTGTGTGTGTGAAGTCCCCAGATAATACTCTCAATTCCTGAAGTCAGTCTCATGATTCATGTGACAAACTAAAAACTTTAAAATGTGTGTTCAAGTAAACTAAACCAATAATTATATATTAAACCATATCCATTTACAACAATTTCTCTTAAAAATGTTAAAATATCACTCAGTTATTCCTTCTCAGGAACTACTTGCAGTAGTCCTAATCTCTGTAAGAACGGTTTGCTACATACAATGGTATAACATGAATGAACTGAATTAGCCTTTTCTCTTTATAAGACATCATCATTTTTTTGTGCACCATGGACCCCTATCACCCTCCCATAACACCTATTTTCCTCCCATAGTCTTCACACATTTTTCAGAGAAGCTTTGTTTTCCCATAAATTCCTCTTCTCCCATGAATCCAGCAAACTTTTTCCTTTAACACACCCCAGAAAAAGAGACCAAACAAAACATCTATGTTTCATTGCTGAGAAGATGAATTTTATTAATCAGAAGCTGTGCTCTCAAGGCCCAGTCCAGCACTCATGTGCAGAAGGGAGTTGAGGACACACAGCAGTGATGCCCATCTGGAAAGAGGGCTCAGTGGTACTTGTGGGACAGAGCACTGGCCACCCCAGCCACCAGCTTCTGCCAAGCAGCCTGCTTCTCAGGGGTGAATTCTTTGCCAAGCTGAAGAGAGAGGACAATCACCAGCATGTTACCCAGGAGCTGTGAGATAAACAACAAGACAGACGGGAATGAGAAGTGGAAAGCCCATAAGAAATGTGTGCAAAACAAGGGTTTAAATAAACCTTCTCAGCACCCATGAGCCTCTCCTCCCATTCAATATTTTCTTGCCCACATCCTCACTTGTCTCCATCCACCAATTTTATTTTCCTCCCTTGTCCCTTTCTCACAGACCAAAAGCCTGATAGATTTAAACATAGGCACTCAGCCATACAGGATGCTCAGTGGAAAATACCATTTAGAACAATGCTCTATATAACCTAATCAGTAAGAATTTATTATGTTCTTGTAGGTTTGACAAATTGATTATAAAAAGTCCATTTCTGAACTCTCTCTCTGAATTTCTTATGCATCAAAAATTAAGACATAAATTATATCTCCTTTGTAGTGACAAGCCAACACTTCTAAATTTTGTCACCACTTGCACAGATCTGCCTCCCTCTGATTTTTTTCTCCA